AGAGAGAGAGAGAGAGAGAGAGAGAGAGAGAGAGAGAGAGAGAGAGAGGCTGTTTCAATTTTGGATCTGCTTATCTGGGTGGAAAAGGGGTTGTTATGGTGACAGATTACAACACGCACACACATGCACGCAAATACGCGCACAACGTAGCACATGACAGACACAGAGAATCCGCTGAATTGTCTCTTCGGCTACTAGGGACGGGTATAGAGAGACAGGGTAGGAGAAATGCCCTTCGCTAAGGTGAACGATGAAACACAGTGGAGGGAGAATTACTGTGGAGGGAGGGGGCGGCAGAAGGCATAGGGAGAAAGCCTGAGAGAGAGAGAGAGAGAGAGAGAGAGAGAGAGAGAGAGAGAGAGAGAGAGAGAGAGAGAGAGAGAGAGAGAGAGAGAGAGATGCAGGAAGGCCATCCGAAACTGTAGCTATGTTAGACTGAGAAACAGTGAACGTAACTATGGTTCAGAGAATCTTGTAAACTGACAAAGGAGGCTATAAATATGCTTCAGAATTTTTTCTTGGAAAGAAGAGGAGCTCTGGGGCAGAGGGATGACGGAAGTGGGTGTGCAAAGGTGGAGAGAGAGAGAGAGAGAGAGAGAGAGAGAGAGAGAGAGAGAGAGAGAGAGAGAGAGAGAGAGAGAGAGAGAGAGAGCGGGGAGGGGGTTGGTTGGCAGGAGACAGGCAGAGACAGATGGGCAAGCAGGTCATCAGAGACTGTTAACTAGAGTGAACAGACAGACAGTAAATGTTACTATCCTGCTGCAAGGCAGACACAGAGAGCAAGAGGCAGGCAGGTTGTCAGAGGCTGTAACTACGGTAGACAGACAATCTTGTAGACTGACAAAGATACAAGCTATGATTCGAAATTTTTGGTTAGAAATACGAGACACTCTGGTGTTAGGGGGATGAAGGAAGTGGGGACACGAAGCTGTCGAGAGACAAATTGAGAAACTTGGAGAGAGACGCGCACACAACATCTGATGAGTCAGTGAAAGTCCGACGAAACAGTCTGGCACGGTCATGCTCTTTTGTGGAGTTGTGTATAGCTTGCATGGCAACACACACACACACACACACACACACACACACACACACACACACACACACACACACACAGAGAGAGAGAGAGAGAGAGAGAGAGAGAGAGAGA